TCTTCACGATAATCATGAAGGTTGGAAAAGACCTCTAAGATCATTGAGTCAAACCATTAACTCAGCACTGCCCAGCCCACCACTGAACCCTGTCCTAAACAACACATCCACAAATACCTCCAGGGATGGTGGACAGCTTCTCCCAGAGCTTGACAACCCCTTTTTCAGTGAAAAAATGCTGCCAATCTAAACCTCCCTTGGCCCATTCCCTCTTGTCCTGTTGCCTGTCGCTGGGGAGAAGAGCCCGCCACCCACGGAGGAGGGAGGCTTAAACCATGGGTGTTTTCCCAGGGATTTGAGTTTTTTTGGGTTGGCTTAGAGGTCAGTAGGACTAGCTCTGAGTGCTGCCCTGTCACCAGGGCTGTGTAGTGGAGGCAGGCTGCCCCCGTGGCTGCTGCAGAGCTCCGCGTTCCGGCACCTTCCGACTGCAGAGCGAGGCGCTCCGTGTTCTCCCTCTGCATCTTCATTTATGAAACTAATCACACAATTACCTGCAGGCATGTGTTAAATATGACACTGGTCTCTGCAAAATAATGGGCCAATTGCAAACAATGAATAAAGAGAGGCAGCTCCATTTATAACTGCTGTTTCAACAGAACTGTGTTGTAATCAAAGTGATCTGAGGGTGACTCATTAATTAATTGATGTTCTTTTTTATTATGTGCTATTGAGTTAATGAGTAATTTGTGCTAGATAACTCTCTGAACACGCTGATTACGTGAGATATTTTCTGGGGCTTTCATATCAATGACATGCTGAATAGGTGGAAGATGGTATTTGCTTATGTATACTCATTATTAGCAGGTTCAGGATGAATATAAATCAGCAGAAGGGCATTTTAAAAGGTACATGCAGCTCTTACTTTAATGCTTTAAACAGATAGTCTTCAGCTTTTAATGCCTTAAATAGTATTAAAATCACTTCCTTTATAATACTTCTATCACCCACAATTGGCAGCTTTTAGAGAGGTGCCTACACAAAGGATTTTTACTGGGAGCATGTTTGTGCTAATGGCCTATTACCTTGCACATATTGTATTTTGGTTTCCTTTTGCAAGGTACTGAGCAGTAAACAGGTTTGGTCTGCATCATTGGCCAGAAGTAGGAGGAATGTGTTAAGTGAATATGTAATTGTTTTTTTTTTTTTTTTTATCTAAAGTGGTATTTAAAGGAATAGAAACACTGTTCTTATATACAGTACACACTTTGCTTTGTGTAGTTTGACTTGTTAAAGCTTTTGCTTTATTGAAACCACAACATCTCCAATGCCATAGGAGTTTTTTATTCATTGAACAACAAATGGCTAAATTGATAATTTAGTCTGACAACAGCAGCACAGTGGAAGCTTTCAGAAAAATCAGCTAAATGTATAAAATTATACCCAGCAATCACTACAGACCTTCATTTTTGACAAGATTTGTTCTAGGTACAGATGACTGTAAACTACCTACTGCTGAGAAAATTATAAGAAGCTGCTGCATATTACGTTGAAAAAAGCCTTTAAAGTACTTTAAAATCTATACAGTCAAAACCTTGCCACAGTCCCTGTTTGTTTCTTTTTCCCAGTCTCCCTTCTCACTGACCACTTCTCAATTTATCTTCCCCAAGTCATTTTATGTGTAGGCAATTAGGAACAGCTGAGGGATTGCTGGATGATTTTCCTTTATTTACATTACGTGAGCAAAACATCTGAACATTTTGGGAGGATAGGAGAACATGAAAGTGTGCTTAAAAAGCCATGAAACAACCCAGAAGACAGAAAAAACACAAATCATGAAATTGAACAACTTTTAGCCCTGGTCACTGTTTCTGCCAAATCCAGGCTGTCTTGATCCATCACCATTTGTGGCAGATAGCAGACACAGCAGGTTACAGTTGTCAGAGGAGCTTTTCACAGTTGAAAATCAAGGTTTGATAATTTTTAGTTTTCCACATGGCTCAAAACCAGCCATCCAAGTTGACTGTAGTAGATTTTTTGAAAAAAAAGATTGTTATTATTATTTTTGAAAAAAAAAAAAAGATTGTTATTATTATTTTTGTCTGGCTAAACTTCACGATGTGTACAGATAGAAACAAAGATAGGAGACACAAGTGGAAGCATCAAATAGATGGAATAAGGGGCACTATCAGAGTGTTTTGGTGGATGCAGACAGCATGTTGACACACACAATGATGGAGAAGGAGAACCAAGGTAGGTAACACAAAGCAACCCAAAGGAATGGTCTAAGCCTCTGTCAAAATGATCACTAAAAGTGGCCTGGCAGATAATCTCTCTCCAGTATTGACTTATGATGATGTACTTTATTGGAGCTGTAAATGTTTCCATTAAATATTTCAACTCTCAGTCATTATTTTAACAGCCAGGCAAGACGGAAGTTTGAAATACAGGAAAATGTGTAATTGATCTTTGACCTACGTCAAATCTAAATTTATTCTGTGTCCTCTACATACAAATTTTAGATATGTATGTGAATAAGACAGATGAGCATAAAGTGCTCAAAGCAATGCCATACCATTGTGCACTGCAATATATCCATATTTCTTTATCCTTGCACCAATTAAGATTGGTATAATGGCGAGGTTATTTTATTTCTCCATAGCAGGACCACCTTCCTCTTCCACACTTTGAGCCAATGTCACAAAATGCACACATGAGCAACATAGCATGTAGTAATGAGCCACTCTTTCCCCATTCCCCTCTCTTCATTTGCTCCATGAAGAGCTGAGCAGCAGCACTTTGTGGGAATGAGAGATTCCTTGAGCATTTACAGCACTGCTAGTGCTGCCATCATCCCCTTCCTCAGGCTAAGCTGGTTTTGGTGCTTTCCTGCCTCAGATCTGTGGTTGCCTCCTGTGAATTCTCTGCTCCTCCCAGGGTGTCCTAATGCTGCTCTGTAACACTCCCACGGCTCTCGGTCTTCTGAGGAGCCAAAAATGCTTTACAAAAGCATTTGTAAATATCCATGTATATTTATCCATGTATTATATGTAGCCATGAGCCCCATTTGACAGATGGGCACAACTGAGGCACAGAGAAGCTGAGTGACTTGCCCAAACTTACAGGGAGCCAAAGACAAACGTCAAAGACCCTTCTTTCCCATCCTCCAGTTTTATGTCTGAACCAGATCTACCCCTTCTGCAGCCTACTGCTGGAGATCTTTCTGATTTCTAATGGGAAGACCCAAGAGGGGCTGGAGGAGAAAATTGAAATTGGGCTCAAAACAAGATAATGTGATTCTTCCCTTTCTGTCCACCCTGACCTTCATGGAAAGGACAGCTTGTTTATTGCACTGAAGGTCTGTGAGAGCCTAATAGCACCTCTGACACCAGCTGCTTCGTTATCCCAAAGACATTAAGGGACTGTGGAAGGGAGTGGAAGAGACACTTGTGCTCAAGGTTAGGAAGGAAGATAGTCCACCAAAGAGGGTTAAATTTAATTTGAAAAACTATGTGGAGCTATTTCTTCTAATTAACAAGAACAGCCTGAGGAGCTGTTGCATTTTTTACTGGTCCTGTATGAGTCAGAGTCAAGTTTTGTGAGCCATGCTTATTTTCAAAAGGGTTCACAGCCAGAAAAAAACCCACACTCTTAACAACAGTCATTAAAACTAAATATCTATTTCTAAGTCAAGCCACTGTGCAGTGTACTCTTACCATACACTAAAGGAATTTCCCCACTGCATTACAAAGTTTCTTTGACCATCCCCAGCAAAAACATGCTGAAACTGCAACAGGACAGGAAGAGCAGGGAAGGACAGCAGTCAACTTGAGCAGAGACATGGTTTCATACTTGAAATAAAAACAAGAGCTTAGCTTCATAACAACAGAGGGTATAGTGGGTTTCTTTTTTTTGTTTTTTTTCTTCTTAATACTGTTTTGTTGTTTGTTTTTAATACAGGTTGTTTTCCCAGTGAGCTAGATTACAGTGGCAAACAGACAAGACATAAATATGCATTTAACAACTTTTTAAACATTCATCCTGCTTCCCTTTGCCAAACACCTGTAAGCTCTGTCAGGGGCGTGAGCACTTAGGGACGTCCTGCTGCTGCAATAACTTCATGGCTTTAAAAACAGAGGTCCACCTCTCCTAGAAAACGGACTGATTGCCAACAGGAGCTGTCAGCAGCGATTCCACCTCTGTCAAAAGGATTTTAATTGCCAGTATTGATGGGACAAACCTGTAGGCTGTTGGCATGGACAGCAAGGTACCTGTGCAGTCGAGTGTGGTAGCTCTCGCTTGCTATTGCAAAGTTTTGTCCCATCCACATCAGCATTTAAATTACCTTCAGCATTCACTGAGGTGGGTAATTAGCAACCAGTCACTCTCCCAGTGTCAGCTCAGGGTCATTTCTTTAATGTAAATAGACCCTCAGAGGGGGCTGTTTACAGTGCCTTCTACTTTCTCTTTTTTCCAGGGTTTGTTGAGGACGCAGCCCCAGAAAACATTAGGGTTAAGCCCTGATAGACAAAAATAAAATAAAAAAATAAAAAAAAAGTAAGAAAAAAAAGGAAATAAAAGAAAAAAGGAGAGCGAGAGAGAGGGAGATGAGGGTGAGAGACCCCTCAAATTTTAAGAATTTTTTAAAATGTATATTAACAGAAATCTTCTCCCTTTCTTCCCCCCCTCCAAATTAATGATTTCAGAAAAATAACATATATATTTTTATATATATATATATATATATAAAATAAGATACCCACAGGCACTGGTTTGCATTAGGGCTTAATTTCCAGCTAAATTAAAAATCAAATCCAGGCATTTGGAATGCCTAAGGGGCACGAAAGCAGCACCCAAAATCATTAACTTTTGCACCTTTTATAATATATCTCAAACCAGTCAGATTTGCTTTTCAAAATTTTGTAGTAAAATAAAAGTGCTCTTTGAGGAAAATCCATGCAATTAAACAGCAGATGCTTAACCCCTGAAAAATAGAGGCTTATAAGAGAAGTGCTGATAGACCCTTAACCATAGTATCATTAGCAGCAGGTGCTGCTAGTTATTAGTTTTCTAAATAGTTTTAATGTAAACAGTATTCTTAAGCTCTAAGTGTAGCATAATGGTTGGGATTTGCTCTTTAATGCTTTTTACTAGAAAGATACAGCTCATTTAAAATAGCTGGTAGATACAGAAAGCATAAATATACAGTAAGTTTAGACACTGATTGTACTAAATGCAACAATACAAAGAAGCAAACAGGAACACAAATGGTAACACAATAAAACTGTATTACATTTGTGCTTCAAATATTACAATACATTATGTACAATAGTCCAAAATAAACATCTCATGCCAAATGACACAAAAAGAAACAAAAAAAACCCCAAACAAACTGAAAATCCCAAGAGCAAGCAAAAAGAATCCAGCTGTATATACAGTACCTTTTTAATTAACATTCAACTCTGAACTGGAGCAATTTTCACTACATACAGATGCAGTCCGCCTTTTATTTCACGCAACCATTCTGTCTCCCTATATCTATGCTATTCAGTAGGTTCCTGTGTCATTTCTTATATACATGTTGAGCAAAAAAGATAAAAGAACGTAGTGCTTTTTATTCTTAATGATGTGGCATCCGATCAGCGAACCTGGGGTGCATAACCTTCTTTCATTAAACCCTCCTCATAGTCTGTCTGGCACAGAATCATGTTGTTCTTCAGGAAAAATTTGTCTCCCACACAAAATCTGAAATTAAAACAATAAAGAGGAAAGAGAAAGAGAGTTTGAGGATAAATGATGCGATATGGACTTACAGGGCTGTAGAGCGAGCGTTGGCTGGACAGCACCCACGTGTGCACGTGGGAAAGCCCAGCAGAGGAATTGCCCTGGTGCCACAATTAATCCTGTGCTTTCAACAAAATCTAGTGCATTCATGCACTTTGGGCTCCCCTGCCAAAGATCTCACTCAAAGCCCACCGTGGGCTGTGGGAGTCCTGGATCAGGAGGGCACACAGCTAAAACACAATAAATATTCCAGCTGAGTGAAAAGCAAATGTCCTGCTCTCGTGCAAACCAGAAGGAAGACAAAGCGGAGAGCTGGTCTGAGATACCTTGCATTTGTCTCGTGTCCTAGTAAGAATTTCTTGTCATGTTCCAGTTGGATATTTCACTAGATTTGATTTAAGATGGTGATTCTGAGATCTGCTTCTAGCACACACACAACTTTATCTACACTGTGGTGCAAACCAGAGACACACAGGCATGCAGATAAACCTTTTTCCCTTGTTTTTTCCTGTAGGAGTTGATTATAAATTTAGTTACTCAGCTAACTCTCTCTCTCTTGTGGTATCAGCATACCTACCTTGTTACACTATTATGTGCATCAGAATGATCTGATTGCTGCAAAACACCACAGAGATTTCATTTGCTTTCCTCTGATGATCAGGACAATCATGTAATGCTAGTGCTCCTGGCTGGCTGACTTCAAACTTCCAGTAAAGTAGGATTTCCCAGCTAAAAATGTGTGTTTGAATTTAAGAGGGCTCTTCCCCAGCACACCCTTCAATCCTTCTTTCCCTTGACAAAGCCACTCCTCTCGAAGATACTGAGGGAGAAGTGAATGGGGCCAATGCAGAAAAAAAAAAAAGTTTCCCTAGTGACTGCCTTGGCAGGGTTACATGGCTTTGTTTGTAGTGAACTCTCCAGCTATGAAATATACTGGGAGGCACTGCTTGCCTTATTCCAATTAAAATGAAAGAAAGTAACCTAAATGAACCCCTCAACACTGATGTGAATAAATGAAACCAGCTTCTACCAGCTAATTATGGATCTCAGTACATAAAGTATTGTTTAATGTGTAACGGATTATAATGTCCTTTTTTTATATAATTTCCAAATGGTGACATCTTGGACACAATTAGGGTCAGATATAAATGCTTGTGTTGTTTACGGTAGATTTAACAGCAGAGTAGCTATGGGAATAGCTGTATATGTATTTAATTGTAACAATTTAACCTTCAAATAGTGGTGCCTGCTGGAGCTGACCCAGTGAAACTCCACAAATGACACAGGCTGACCCACCTGACCCCTGATAGTGGTCTGTCTTTATCAGACAGTCAATTTCTAATGATGTTCAAGCAGAAATCTTGGTGAATTGTTACAGATTAAATTGTGTATGGAAAGCAGTCCTTTAATGTTTTGTGAAGTTGGAGGTTTAAATGAGTAGCAGTTGGACTGATTTACATTTGTGAAGATTGGAATGCTAGACAAACAGTGAACCCATTTATTTTCCAACTGGGTAGCTCTGGAAATTTATCCTTATGCTAGCTAAATAGATAGAGGGAAAATAGTGTAATAAAAAAGTGGATTGAAAAGAATTAGCTCTGCTCTTAAAGGAAAATTGGTTTGTTTATTTGTGTACTTTTTTTTTTTTTTTTCTGTGGGGTTACTGCCTGCTGCTGCTGCTGATTGAAAACAGATTGTGGGAGGATCCTGATATCTTTAAGTTATTTATGGTCAACAATCTTTTACAGAATTTAGAGGTTCCTATTATTCTTCCCACACCAGTCCTGGTATACTAGGCTACTAACAACACAAAATGATTTTGAGTAGCAGTGTCGAGATGTAGAATTCATACATAAAAGTTGTTCTGTGGTGTTTTTTCCTAGTTTCCATCTTTTTCTATTTTTGTCCATTGACAGCAAGCAACGTTGAGAAAAATTCTTCCGTGCACCTTACAGGATTAGGTAAAGAAGTCTTAACTAGTACCAACATGTAACATTTGTTTTTCCCAAAGAAGTCACATTTAAAATCAACAAAAAAACAGCTGGGAGACAAAACCACCTCTGTACCCAGCAGAAAACACTAAGCCTGAACTGAGAATATTATTCAGCTGTGTATTCCTTTTGTTCCGGTGAACGACAGACCTTAGCAAACTAATATTTTGAAAGCATTTAGCAAATGAAAAATACCCTGCTGAAGTGCAATTCGCCTGCATGGCAATACTGAACACGTGTGGCCTCGTGCAATATTGTTTGCATCAAAATCCTGGCTGAAGGATTTTGTTCCTCAGCCCTCAGAGAAGTGACACAGTTTGAATTAAACTGCACCAGCTATTCGGGAACGTCAGGATGCCTTTCCCAATAAAAAGTGTCAGTGCCTCTTGCTTTAGCAGTGTTGATATGTGGAGCCAGAAGTGTTCTACCTGTGCCTACATGGCATGTGGCAGCTTTGTGCACGGGTGGATTAAACACACACAGTTCTGCGCATCCCTCGCGTTCCGAACGCGCCGCCGTCCGGCGGAGAGAGGCTGCCAGTGGCCTCTCCAACCATGCTTGGCTGTCTGTCTCCATGGGAAAGCATCCTCTGCATGGTCCCCCGTGTCTTGGGGGAAACCTGTTGTTTGTGATGCCTAGGGTTCAAAAATTCTGCAATTTTTTTCATATTGTGCAAGCTCAGTGACAAGCTTACTTGGCAAAGGCTGACGGTGAGGCTGGTGGGGGTCCCTGGGTGTTAAATGTGTGAATTGTGCACTCATTAGGTGACAAAGAGGTAAGCACCAGGTGAAAAACCTATAATCCTGGCATGCTGGCTCCCAGGTACAGTGGGACAGGGCAAGCAAGCAGAGGAAGTATGATGAATTCCAGGCGTTCACACTTTCAACCTTATTTGAGTCTCAAAAACAGATTTAGCCTCTCCTAAAGTGAAAAAGCTATCTGTAACTACTTCAGATTGGGTTTGCACACTGCAGGATTTAAACCTGGCTCAGCTTTAAAATGGGAGGGGAAATTGAAGCCTAGCCTCCCACTAAGGTTGGGGGCTTTTTTATGAAACTGGCATAGGGTGTAAATCAGGGCACAATTTGGGCACACGTATTAAACGGAGTCGAGGAGCGTATTAAGATGCTGCTGTGTTAGGGGTATATAATTAGGCAAGATTATTACTCTTCTAGCAGGCAGATGGTAGTCTTCAGCCTTCCCTAAAACCCTCACCCAATTTTTTTTTAATAGGCATGCAAGATGAAGAGGAAAGAATATACAATAGGCAGCATTAACATGCCAGATTGGACCGAGCACCATAAATTGATAATAGTACTTTTGACACGACAGTGACATTAGTAGAATGACCATTATAATTAACCTACATCCTAGAACCCCTGTCATATTTTACAGTGGCAAAAGGAAAGCCATCTGTATTACAAAATGACCTCTGTTATCACCTTGTTTGGAAGGGAAGGTGTGCCTAGACTAATCACAAGAAGTAAAAAAAACTTCCATTTTGAGAAGTAGCTCTTTCAGTGCTCAGAACAGATATTTGAAGGAGATCTCACTGCTGTCTGTCATCTTTTCTGATGCACAGGACATGTGTCAAGGTACTGAAGACTACTTAAGGAAGCAAGAGGAATATTGCTGTGAAGGAAGATGGCTTTGTGTGTGCCTCCTCTGATAATGCCAGATCTTTGTCGCTGTAGAAAGAAACCAAATCTGGAAGCACTCAGTTGATTTCCTGAGGATTAAGACAGTTCAGACTTAACCACACCCACACCCTTCCCCTCTGCTTTTTTTGCAATCTGTGATGTAACCTGGGCTCTGCTTTTCACCTTTCCTCTCTTTTTTTAAATGTTGAGCTCCCAGTACAGTTCACATTATCTATATGGATCACTAAGAGAACAAAGCCACTCTTTTACATCATCAGCCCACACCTGTGGTTTATTAATTCTGTCAAAATGTCCCTTTCAAAGGCTGGAAAGTGGGAGCTGTGACTGAGTTTGTACATTTTCACCAGTACCTGTGTAGACACAGAATCCCAGTTCAACTTAAAATGGCAAACCTCAACTCGGTGTGCTTGTCATGCACTATTTTATAAAAAGCAGGTATGGACATTATGTTAATTTCTATTCTAAATTTTGAGACGTACAATGAAAATAAGCAGTACTCAGGCCTTCAGAATTTATAAAACGACCACTCATGCAAAAAACTAATATTGGGGTTTGAAATAAGGATGTCCCAGGCATTGTACTCCCACTCCCCCGCTTGACAGAGAACAAAAGCAGCATTGTGTGGGCATTTTACAGTTTATACTGGAGGTAAGTGTTTACAGCTACATCAGGACAGCAATTTCAATGAGTGTGTAACCATTTTCAGTCCAGTTTCCATTAAAATCAAGGCAATTTCAGATAGAAGGGTAGAACAGGCGGTTTAAACACCTCTCAGCGATAGCAGATGGGGGTTTTAAGCCACACTCCGAGTTGACTTCAAACGGCAGAGAGAAAATATCACAGGAGTAGGGAACGAGGTGCTAAAGAGAGTGAGAGGAAGGACACACAAACTCTGGGAAGTGGGAAAGCCGAAGGCAGGCTGACATCATCGCTCCAGTCAAAAGTGTCAAGCAAAGATACAGCTGAGCCCACTTGCAAGATTTTTCCACTCCATTTTGTTTGTCACACACATGCAACCTGACAAAGTGTGAAAGGCAGTGTCTGTTTACAAGTTTATTTTTCCGGTGGTTTCCTTCCTTCCTCCCACCACCCCCACCTCCAAATTTTCTGCAGAAATTAGATATATTGAGGTTACTGTCAACGTGAAGGGCTTCTGAGGAGAAGTTAAATATGTTTACAGAGAAGAAAGGGGAACACTCACACCATTAAGATGACTGTCACTAAGCTCTGCAGGTACTTAGGCGATGGAAAAACTTCAAATTAGGAGTAAGCTGGACAGAGACATGAGAGATAAGAGGATGCTAAAACCTTTAGGCTAGGAGCAAAGCTTAATATTCACAAAATTGCTACAGCTTTAAGCATCAGTATCAAGAAAAACGTGGGGGAAATATCTCAAAAACTGGCTGGAGCAATTAGATCCTGGAGCTGAACAGCTTTATGAAAGGGAAAATAGGAGACAGTGCCTATTTGACACAGGGGACCAGGTTTAGTGGCTCAGGAGCTTTCCTTTCAGGCCTGAGTCTACACTCTGTCTGCCTGGAGTACAGTGTGTGAGACAATGCCTTTTTCTCCTCACTCTGAAAAGGTCACATTCAGGAGGCCAATAAAGGGACAGGGATGAGTTACTTCAGAGCTAGAGTTCACGGCCTGGACAAAAGTGCCTTTAAGTGAAGGCAGCCTAATTACCATCCACACCGAGATTTGCACTGGATGGTGACTTGTAGATACTCAAAAGATAATAAAGCAAACAGTGAAGTTGTCCATAAAAGCAGAAAAATCACTGAGTCTTCACAAAGAGCACTAGGCAAAGATGGACAGGCATCTCTCTGGGCCAGGACCAACTCTTTAAAGGGTAGGAATGTGGGGTCATGCAATAGCAAGACCCAAGTATGGGCTGCCCCTGGATCAGTGAGATGTGTGTTAATATAAATATTACCTAGCTGGAAAAGCAGAAGGGACTGGAAGGAGCAACCAGGCCCAGAACATCAGAAAAAAATTCAGTGTTGGCAAAGACAGAGTCAGACATCTGAAGAAACAATTCTGCATTCTCATGAACATTGCATGTTAGGAAAAAAACCCTAAATGGTAGATGATAACTGAAAATGAAATGTGGAATTGAACAGAGGACACTACCTACTCTGCAAAACTACTGTAGAGAAGGACCTAAAAGTTTTAAAATTTAATGGGGGAAGAAAATGTGACATTGGGTGTTGGAACCCTGGGCACAGAGAATTTCAGGCTTTCTGTGCTGACAGAAAACACCTGCAGGAGAGCACTGTGTTCGACCTGAGGCTGTGGAAAAGGCTTCCAAAACTGAGTGACAGAACTGAGATTATGGGTGTCTAGTCTGAATAGAGGTGTGTTATATCACATGGTGGAAAATTTAAGGTTTTGGGATATAGTAATATATATGTAGCCAGATGGAGGTTTTAAGGTGTAAGCTTGTCTTGCTTTTTCACCTTCTTCTTCATAGGTTTAAGTGATACTGTGTGATTGGGTAAAAAAGTCCACAGTGCAGAATGCAGGTATTTAGGTATTAGGTTAAAAGTAAAAAAAAAAAAAAAAAATTAGTTAGCATTTTATAATTAGGTAGTTGACACTTAAAAGGCCTTGCATAAAGAAGCCTAAGGCTCCATTTTTATTTTGTTGGCTTAGTGTGCTAAAAAACTCATAGTCTGTGAGAATGTAACATAAATAAGAAATAAAAAACATTTCTGAGTCCGAAGAATGCCGTCTTTCACTCATTAATCCCAACCCTAAAGAAAAAACCATGAGACATTTTACAACTGGGGAATAAGGTTAAACAGGCCCTGCAATAGCTGGTGAGCTTGATATACCCACTGGTGATTTTTTGGATATTGTTGATGTGTTTGTGAATAAAAATTTTCTCTTCAATAAATAAATTACATATTGGTGGAATTAGTGGCTGGAGCAAAAACCTAAAACCCCTCAATAACATTATTTTGTATGCAAATGGGCAGGAGAAACTTAGAAAAAAAGTTAAACTGAAGTCTTACAAACACATCCTGTCTCAGATTCTGCTGTGTGGTTTTGATTAGCTTGAGCAGAGTCAGAAAAAATGATCCTAAAGGACAACAGAAATTATTAATGAAATGGTGTGTGACAAGATTTTTCTGTTTAAAAGAGAGCAGGAAAAGGTTTCATAGTAGATCTGAAAACCCCCAAGTTGGTGATGGGCTGAGTGTCTAACAATGTGGGGGTTTACTGTTATACAAGTAACAAAAACCAAAGGATTTGAAGCTATTAATGAGAGAATGTAGCCAGTGGGATGCTTTGCCATAGGAACCACAGAAGAGCTGTGTTGGAGCATCCATAAAATGGGACTTTTTGTAAAAAAAACAACAAAATTAATTCTTCAGAAGGACACTAGTTCCAAATTGTGAGGAGGAAATGTACCCTACAAGCAGCCTGCTTTATGAGGCTCCATGAGAGCTACTGCAATAGAATAAGGACTATGGTCACTTTTGAGAATGAGAATTCAATTCTTCTAAACTCCTGGAACCACTCCCTGTTTTCACTCGATGAACTAGACTGTATTTCGGGTAAATTCATTCTTTTGTTCTCAGTCTAAGACACCTGTAAGACTATTTCAGAAACCCTCTGCCCAAAATACATGCAAAGTAAAAATCAAATAAAAGATTAGATTGAAGGCTTAGGAATAAAAAGGCTGAGAATTATTAAATAGCCCAGTTAAGCTCCATTTCAGAAGCATCTAACAGCACTTTTCCGGGGGGATCAGTGGCCCCAGGGAACACTACAATGTGTGTTAGCTGCAAAGTGAAATTGTACATTAGTTTGCAGCTGTAATGGTAAAATAGGAATATTAAAAATATTCATAACAGCTATGTTGGTTTGTTTTTTTTTGGTGGGGGGAAGAAAAAGAAAGTTCACTTCCTCAGATCCAAGAGTGCTAACTATGATGAAAATCTTTTGCACTCCGGCTAACAAACATTGTCTGCTTTGCTTGACTGATGAAGATTAGCTGACTTCTTACATTAAAGAAGTTTGTCTTGTATGGGCTGAAGTGACAAGACAATAACTAAGTGCTAATTGTGCATAACCAACACTAAAGATATGCAGCCCCATTATGGCATGTAATAAATGAAGCGAACAACAGAAATATATTGGGTGCTTTAATAATGATACCAGAACCGTGGTTTGGAAAAAAACCAGGATGTGAAGGGTTTAGGAAATGAAACCCTAGGACACACTCTGTGTGTGTCTTTTACATGTGGGAGCCTCTGCCTGCCTCGCTCGGAATACGGCTTCTCAGTTCTGTGGCAAGACAAAATTGATATAGGACTTTAAACAGCATTAGAACCTATAATTACTTTGCATTATTATATAGTTTAAGCAGTGGTTATTACTTGCCTGCTATTTTAATTTCCCATGCAACATGATGAAAAAGGTCAATTTGGCTTTTTTTAAAGAGTGTAATTGTGGTGTGCTACACTTATTAGCAGCTGTACATTTTATGGTTCTTTAGGGATGTTTGATTTTTAAATGACTACAGTGTTAAAAAATAATACACTGTAGGACAAGGTGAGTTAGGAAAGCTTATTTAGAGCTGTGTCTGGCTTTGTCATGTTAGACTATTATCTTCCTAATTTTTCAATGCTTCCCTAAAAACGTGTATCTTGCATTTCTTCCCAACTGAAGAGAAAGAAAAAAATGCTATAAAGTGCTAAATAGGACCATGTAATAACTGAAAAATAACTGATAATAATAGGGACATTAAGGAGTGGACATAATTGTCTCTCTCACTTCCTAAACCCCGTAGAACTCACTGGCAAAGCTGCTATCAGCTCTGGTGGAGCCAGAAATGGAGCTCCCGGTGAAGTCTCTGATGGGATTTGGCCACCACTAGGAGTGTAGATGGTAAAAACTTGGCTCTATTCACCTCTGAAAAAATCAGTTGTTACAATTTTACCATTTTTGACATTCGTTCTCCAACTGTGCCATATGGGTGATGCTTCAGAACAGGGTGTCAGGTTTGGATCCTTGGGATTTTTATAACCTACGGTTTGGATATGGAAATAAAAATAGGACTGTAAGAGGTCCAAGGCTGCTGCAGAGGAAATGGTGGGAACAACATCTTTTAAATTTAAATGATTACAGTTCTGGCAACAGGAAGAAACAATGTGTACTTTAAAAGAAATAAATGTGATAAAAATGAAGAATTAAAGTGAAATTAATGCAATAGTGACAAATGGTACTGCTATGCTCTTCTGCCGAAAAGGATCTCAAAGACCTTTATAAATATTAATTAATTAAACCTGACAGACAGCCTTTTGAAGGAGAGGAAGTAACATTATTCTTTTTTATTGATGCGGGATTTGAGGCACAGAAAGTTTTCTGGCCAAGGTCATGAAAGATGTTCTGTTTCAGACCCAGGAACAGCACCCAGGTCTTACTCTCCATCCCGGGCTTCTACTACTGGAAAGCGTTTCCTCTTTGGAATGTGTCCCTACACCAATGCTGAGCTAGCACTTAGCCTATGGAACAGACCCAAGGAATTCTCTTACCTCTGATTACAAAGCTGACATGCAAAACAGTCCAGGTGATAAACATTGTCCTTCGCTCTCATCACCATCTCAAAAGCAGGTATGAGCTTACTGCAGGCAGCACAGTTTCCTGTAACGCCAAATAACCTGGAGATATAGAAATAAACAGATTCTTGATTCACTTTTTTTTAAAAAAAATATTATTTTTTTTTTTCCACCCCACAGTCTGGTCTTTGACTAACTTCTCAGCACACCTCCTTTTGGAAAGGCTGGCCTTTGGTGGTTCAGCTCTGCCAGACTTGCAGCACAAAGACATAGTCTTGCTGAAGAGAGCTTTATGACAGACTAATATTGCACCTATTGTGATGTTATATTCTTTTTCAGCAGGTTATACCGACCTTTCCTGATAAAAGAAACATCTGGTTAAACTAAACAAAGAAACAGTAAACACATTAAGGACGTTACATAACTGTGCAGACAGAGGTCAAGCTGTTTGCATAAGTGGGAAGAGTCTTCTTCTTAGATCCTGCCGTGCAGGAGAGAGCCACATAACCTTGGCTTTTGGTGCTGCTTATTACTAAAACACACTTTAGCTAGAGGAGAAATAACGCTTGAAAAAGCCAACATTCTTCGCGTTTTTGACATCTAGTGCTAAAAGCTTTACCACTATTATTAAAAGAACATTTTATGAACAAGTCATTTAAATCGTCAGAAAGCATTAGTGGTTCATGCACCTTACAACCCTATACCATAGTTATTGCTATGATTATGTTATTCAGGTAGCACATTAAAGTAAATGAGGCTGTAAACTATATATAGTCACATCAGGAGTAGAAGTATAAAATACTGTAAGAACAATATGAAAGGCTGTTTTTTGCCAGACGTCTATATAATTTTCTTTTTAAATTCCCTTTGCTAAAGATTTTTCAGTACTTTTCAAGTGGGTGCATTACACACACACACACATGAAAAAAAAAACAACACACCAAAAAAAAAAAAAAAACCCAACTGACATACATATACATCCTTTTGTGACACAGAAGGATTATAATGAACAAGAAAAATACGTTAGCTCTACGTGGCAGCAATCTTTGAAACTAAGTTTATTTAAACTACTTAATAGTTGTGATGGATTATTAAAAGTAATGCTCTGCTTGTGCATAGCGGTTAATGCTGTTTTTAACTATGAAGCACACCAGATGAAAACACCACATCTGCCACTTTTCTTTTTTTCCTCAACATCAGGCTGACAGCAGAAAAATATAATGGCTCTCAAGGGAAACACCAAATTAAAAGCAGTTCTAAACTAATGAATTCAAAGGTGCTCTGTAGAAAATTCAGTTTGGTAACATAAAAATGAACACAGTTTTTTAATCACATCCCTCCATTTTACTGAATTTCATGGGTTGCCAACAAGCCTACTTAATTCTAAATCCCTTTACCTTCTGCTCCTACTTAAGGTGTGCTGCCTACAGAATACATGCCTGTTTAATTTAGCAGTTGTGACCCTTTTCCTCCTGTCTGAGATGCTGGTTACTGTGATCACTTGGAGGAATGCTGGGACAAGGCCACCCTCCTCGGCTCCTGCTAGAACGACTCGAGTCAACTTCTATTTTTGTGAAGTTTGATTACTAAAGTCCTAGGTTATTCAAGCTTATTATAAATATTTCTTTTGAGAAACGCTCTTTTCCAGCTCTGTCTCCACCACTCACGGGTTTCCCCCTGTCTAAATCCCACCCAGAGTTTCATTCTTTGTCTGTAAGAAGGACACAAGGCTCAGTTGCCTCCCAGAGTTGTGGGCTGCCTTTGTGTCGGAGATGATTATACCCACGGAGCAAACACTGGCTCTGCTTTCCTGCCCACCTGTGTAGAAGATGATGGCAGCTCAGCTGTGTGAGGGAAGCAGATCAGGCTGCAAAGGGGCTGTGGGTGCATCGAAATGCTATCTCATGTGGTGGTGGGAAAGTCAGCCTTTAGGGCTTGGACACAGCAGAAAGATGAGAGAGGTTCCAGCGCCTTTGAGCTCAGTGTGGGGGATCACACAGCCCCTCGGTGCTTAGGTGGTTTAGGTGCAACAGCTGGGTGCTCGAGACAAAGCTGAAAGCCCTGGCCAGGCAGGGTGTGAGGGGCACTGTCACCTTCCAGGGCATCCTTGCAGGTGTGTGCGTGTGAGAAAGCGGAAATCCATTACAGCCAGCACTGCGGCTTTGCATGTTGCAGAGCAGCGAAACAATTTGGGGTTGTCATCCAGCACTGTGGAGGAGGGAGATTTACTGCACCCCAGTCCACTATGTGCAGACTTCTACAGTCCTGGAACGAGAGACCCTGCAGAAACTGCTCCAGCTAAGCACCAGATACATTAAAATTTTTCAATTACGTAAAGGGAAGGAGGCCCTCCTTGCTGTTAGTCCTTCTCCACCACACACAAAACAAACATGTGAGATTTATATTAGCTACTGTTAATTTTGGATAAAGCTGTTTATATGAAGAACATAGTTTTCTGCCATTAATAATAATAATAAAAACCCCACAATGCCATTTTGAAATTCTGGACATAGTTTCCCCCAATTTCAATTGCTCTCGCTCCCTGAGCATTTATCAGCTACCTGATTAGAATTTGTTTCCACACAAACCATTGATCATCAGCCTATTACTAGGCAAATGACAGTTAATTACCCACTACATTAACCACTGGGACCTGAGACCTGCTTCTGCTGCCATCAGTCAACATGATAAATGTGGCAAGTTCAGTAATGCATGGCCAGCCCTGAGCTGCCTGCTATAGTGTGAACAACCCTCAATCTCACTTCCAGGCCCAGGAAAATCTATGGCAATCTGCATAATTACAAGCTCTGGGTTAATAACAGACAAATGATTTGTTGCATCTAAACAAAGTCCTTGGAATGGGCCTGGTCTCCTGTGGCTGCCCAGGCTGCTGTTGTGCCACCGGTGTGCTTCCCGCTACAACACGCACAAAACACATCCCCGACGCTGTATCCTTCCAATTTGTTGCCCTCCAATTTATGGATTCTGCATATGTGATTTTTAATCATTAAAGAACTCTTGAAGCAATATTATCTTAATTATTCTCTGCTGTAGCCAGGGAATTAGGCTTCAGATAAAATTTTCTTCTTCTGTGCACTTTCCCTGCCTCACTGGAGGCTCCATCAGTTTTCATCTACACCTGGACTCTGAAATTCTAATGATGAATTATTGCCCCTTTTCCTAAGAGGGTGAACCTTACAAGGGAACATTTTACTGAACTGTCAGCTCACAGACTGAGTGCGGAGATGCGGAAATCTGATCTAATTTACTGCAAAACGATGCATTTGTTAGACCTTCTCCTCAGTTTTGTCCGAGGATCAAGAGACCAGTCAGGAGCCACCCTCCTGTAGTCCTTTGCACAGGAGTACACCTACTCAACTCCCCACATGCCATTTTGTTTTCCTCCTTTCTTCAAACCTGTTACACAAACAAGTTTCTAAAACATGAATTTTACTACTGGAGGGGAGAAGCAGTTTCTTGACAGGCTCCTAAGTGGAGCTGATGCACCAAGATAGGGTCTCTTGCTTTGTCTATTTTACCAAAAGAGTGGCAAGGATTTAATTCCTACTAGTACTTGCAGCTGCTGGGTACCGTTCTGTGCTCTATTTCCTTTTTCTCTGTGGTAAGAGAATGGTTAAACTCATCCATATCTACTTACAGATAGTTAGACCGTGCCCTAGCTACCTCAGCAGATTAGAAAACTGAACCTTACTGATTTCACCTAGGAAGAGCAGGTGAGAAAACTCTAAAGCACCAGGACAGATCTTTTCTCATGATGATCTGAACCAACATCTGGAATTTTACATTTATTCCCTGTATATGCTCCAACAGAGATTAGAACAATCAGCCACAGCAAAAGCTTTCATTCTTAATGGATTTGAGCAGTACAGAACATCCTGCACAGAGCTAAAAAATGAAAGACATGCAGAAGCCCTTCTACAAACAAACCCAAACCTGACATTTTGAGCAGCAAAAAGTGTGATTAAGCACCAGGCTATTGATTCTACTTTGGTAGGTTTACTAAACACAAACCTGAAGGTTAAGTACCGAGAGATGAGAAACGGGGAAAAAGTTGAGAGGGGAAAGACAAGAAAAACAGAGAAAAGCAAGAGTGGAGGGATTCACAAAATATCTGAGTTTGACTGAAGGACACTATTCTCACTATTCTCACGGGCAAGTGAGGGACCCAGTTTAACCACAGAGACACCAATTTCCATCCACTCCTACAGATTCTGGGTGAGGCTCTGAGTAAGCAGGGAAGCTCCAGTTCTCATCATTGCCTAGGAAATGCTCCATCACACAACGGGACTGCTACGTGCCGAGATGAAACGGATTTGGGCCGTAATTCCCTGTCAAATTACGTGGGACTTTCACAGGATTTAGGATCTAATGTTGTTGCTTACAGCTGCTCCCATAAACTTCCTCATTTTTTGCTGTTCTTGTCTGACAGCTGTCCTCTGTAAGACCCATTGGTTTGCTACCAACAGGACTCTTTCTCCTACTGTAATTTTGTATTAAAATGTTGCACGATTTGGATAAGAGGAGTGGGTTCCCAGTAGGAGGACAAAATATCTGTTTGCACAATGGAAAATGAAGAGGAAAAAAACCCCATCTTAAGATAGAGGAATGACAAAGCAGACATTAAATGGAGTTTCTCCTGTGGTGCAGTAATTACATATAGCTTTAGATGGTTTCAAACTACTTTTTCTCCTCATTCTCACTACAGGGTTAACTAGGTTCATTAGGGAAGAACATACATATTTGGGACCTGAGTTCTAAACCTGCCTTCACCACTAACTGAGTGGGTGACCCTGGAAACTCACTTAATTTTGGTCTCAATTTATTTGTTACACAGAGGTGAGACCTAATCTTCACATTGCAATACCCCTGCTAGATACTTTTTCTATAAAAAATTGAAATGCTGCTTTCAAACCTCGGTTTCACAGTGCATGAGGGATCAAAATAATACACATGCATGGTTTTAAATGTAATCAGACATTTAGTGAAATAGACAATCAGGTTTTTTTTTGGTTTTTTCTTCCCTTAGTAGGTTTGTGTATTATTCAGGATTTCAATTCAAGCTGTATGCACTGAAGGACAGA